AAGAAAGATTGGGGGACCAGAGACATAGTACAGCAAGCAGGGTGCTTGCCTTGCATGTCGCAAATCCAAGTTCGATCTCTGGCACCCCTTAGGGTCCCCAGAGCCCACCAGGAGTAGTTCTGAGCACAGAACCAGGAATAACTCCTAAGCATTGCCCCCCAAAAAGAAGAAGATAACAAGATTTGAAGCCTCTATGTTCTCTCATATACAATTTAAGGTGTTCAATGCAAAAAAAAAAAAAAAAGCCACAAACCAGATTCCATAACCCAAACCCGATTTTAAAGTTCCAGGCGCTGGAGACAGAGCAATGGATAACCCACATTTCTTGAGTTCTGAGGCCACGTCTTCAGAAGTGCTGATAAATATGTTTTAGGAGATAGGGGAAGCTTTCTCCAGAGAACAGAGCCTATTTTTACAAGAAGAAACAGGAGCAAGTGGGAATACTAGGCTGAAAACCGATAGTCGGTGGGTCTGTGCGTACAGCAGAAAGGAGGCCGAGAGCCATGCCAATCCAGGCAGGACGCAGGACAGCTACCGCTAAGGCTCCGTTCGAGGCTGGCACGTGGCTGGGTACAAGAGGCTGCAGGAGGAACCCAGGGAGAAGGACAGGCCAGGGACATGTGCCTGAGGGTCAGGAAGGAGGGGGGCTGCGTAGCCAGGAACATTCCCGAAAGGACAGCCCAGGACCACACATGGGGAAAGCATTGGGCAGTGCCAGTCTCCCCCACTGGCAGTGCTGCAGTTTGGGAGGGGCATGCTCCCCTCCGAGGCGCCCAACTGACAGGAGAGATGTGGAACAGGACGCCTGCAAGCTGGACAGACGCTCTGAGAATTGCTCTGCGGTGCGGAGAGACGCCTGGGGCTGGGCGGCAGAAAGGGCACACTTGCTCTGTCCTGCAGGAGCTGAAGATGGCCCCGGGTGGTGCGCATGCGCCCTCGCACGAGCTGCACGCGGGGAAGGCTCAGGACAGAACTCTCCTCTCTCCTATCCTCTGTAGAGCTACCAGAAATGCTGTCTGCTGGCTTAGGGGGACGAAAAAAAAATAACAAGCCTAAATATACCATTGAAAACTGATTTTTAAAACCCAAATGTTTAGAAGCTCCAGGGGCACGGGGTGGGGGGGTGTGCATCACCTTTAAAGCATCAAAAGTCAGTTGGAAAGCTGATGTCTCGTGGGGGGCGGCGGGGCACAGGCACCCACTTCCAAATGCCACTGAGGACCAGAGGCCAGGCACGGGCAGGCTGCGCATCTTGGGAGCCCCAGCAAAGTTGGGGGCATGTGAAGCACGGAGTGGGTGCAGAGGCTGGCATGACACAGCCCCTAGAATTCAGACGGTCTCTGAGAAAGGAAGGCCCCAAGATCAACTACCAAGGCAGCCGTTTGGAAAAGCCAGGGGGAAGGAACTGAAAGGACATGCCCTGAGAGCAAGACAAAATGAAACACACTTGCATTCCCCGAAAAAAGAAAGAAAACACACTTCATAAAGCCAGTTGTCTGAAATGACCCACAAAATGGGTTTTTTTCCCCCGTGACAGAACCATCAAGAAAAAAAGGAAACACAGATTACAAATATACCCCGAAGCCCCACACCGAGACAGATGCTGGAGAGGGGAGTAAGAGGCTTCAAGCAAACGGCTGTGGTTTGTGTGATCATCCAGAAAAATGCAGAGGCTGGCAGGGAGGACCCCCACAACAACCAAGCCAACACAGGAAGCACCTCCCGCTAACGGTTCCCAAAACCCACTGAATGAGCCCCCAGAGGAGACCCCCAGCTCCATACCAGCATCCCGACGGAGGAAAAAGAAGATGCCCCCAGCTCACCCCCCAGGCCCCCACTCTCTCGCCTCCCAAAGGGGAGTCCCAGGGAGACAGATGAGCCCTCTGCAGGGGTGAAGAGGAACCTCCCATCCGAGCGACCCACAAGGGTGTTACACCAGGAGGGGAGGGGGCAGGGTGGCAGGCACAGTCTGCTCCAGAAGTCCCCATGGGCACAGGTGCCACCACACCTGACCCGTGGTCAGTGACTTTCGCTCAAGGTGCACCCAAAGCTGCCCCCCACCCCCTGGCTCCAAGGTCTGTCTGGGCTGCTTTCGGGATGCGAAAACGAGGTGCTGATGAGCGCTGTCACGAACAGAAGCACGTCGTCGGGCGCTGCCAGCCTCATCGCCCCACACAGAGCCCAGTGCACTGGGTCCCCTGGCTGTGGCGTGGAAACTCTGTCATCTCCTCACCAGCAGGGCAATGAGACGCCCGGCTCGAGGGTGGGCGTGGGTGGCCAAGACGAGGCTGTGGCGAGCGTGGGGATGTCCCAGGAGACTGGACGCCCCACGGACGCCTGCTGCCATGCACACTGGGAGGGGGAGTGGAGGGTCCCTATACGCTCCCGAGAGCCCCCCCCGCCCCCCGCTCCTGGCGGCCGGCCCAAGGCTGGTATTTGCCCGTGCCCACAGGGCCCCCTCAAAAGCTCACTTGGCCTCCCCACCTCCAGACCCCCTGGCCTGTGGCATCCCTGGCACCAAGGGCTCCGAGGCCGCATGCCCCACCCCAGCCTGGGCCAGTGGTTCTCACCTGTAAGTGCAAGTGGGGAAGGAGCGAGTCCTGGAGTGCTCCCAGCCTGGCAGTGCTCCCTCCCCGCCCTGCACCTTTATGCCAAACACAGCAGCCGGCTAATCTCGTTAAGATGTTAAGTCACATCTTGTTACTCCTCAGCTCCAAGCCCTCCAGGATGGAGGGGCCCTCCCGGAGATGCTCGGAGCGGGGGCCGGTGCGGGGGGGGGGGGGGGGAATCCAGCTCTTGGCTACTGGCCGGCTGCCAAGCCTTTTGCTCCCTCCAGGCCGCTGCGGGCGGCACAGCCAGGCACTGTCGTCTCTCCCCTCCCGGGCCTCTCAGACCCCTCAGACCGCAGCCCCCTGGACCTCCCCCCACTCCCTTCACCAGTGGTCCCAGTGTCCCGGCTCTGCGGCCAGCCCACAGCCCTCACCGTCCCCCGCGGCTGCCCCAGCTGCTTCTCTGTGCCCCCGTGGCTGGCCTATCCATCACACACACCCCTGGGCCGTGCTGTCCACCAGGGCCCTGGACACCACACAGCTCCAGCAGCTTGACCCAGCCCGGGGGGCTTCCTGCAGAGAGGGAGCAGCTGTGGCCAGCCTGTCTCCGGAGTGAAGGCGGCCCCCAGGCCCCCAGCCCTGCACGGGCCAGCCGCGGCTCCCTGCTGCTGCGCTCAGGGCTGCGGTGGATGAGGGGGTCTGTGCTAGGACAGAGGCCCGAGTCCCCCATGCTGCGCCCCCAAAAGGCCCACGGCCAGGAACCACACCCGCCCGCACCCAGCCACAGAAGTCACCTCCACAGCGGGCACAGGGGGCCCGCACCCAGCCCAGGCTGCCTTGGCCCTGGCGGGGGGGCACGCCTCCGTGGACAGACCTAGTCACACAGGAGGTGGCCGGTAAGGATCTGGGGGAGATGGTGGAGGTGTAGCGGGTGGATACGTAATGACCAGTTTCTGGTGGGGGTGGGTGGACAGGTGAGTGCTGGGTGGGCAGAAAGATGCATAGAGAGAGAGAGGGAGGGGGAGAGAGGGGAAAAGAGAGGAAGAGAGAAAGGGAGAGAGAAAGGGAGAGAGAGGGAGAGGGAGATGGGTGATGTTTGTATCAGATCCGAATGAAGAGCCACTTCCAAGGCAAAATTCTCTTTCCCAGCTCTCCTCCAAACCTGACGGAAATTCTAAGCAGCCCGTCATTGTCTGCGGTGTCGGAGCCAAAGGCAGGAGCACCGGGGATGGGGGCTCCGGCTTCCCTCTCCTCTGCTGGGGAGAACCGAGGGCCTTGGCGGGGCTAGGAGCGACGGGCAGCTAAGAACTCTTCCAAACACCCCAGAGAAGGGACTTCCAGAGCTGTGGGGCGCAGCACGGCCAGGTCCCCTGGCTCCTTAGGCCGGGGTGCAGCAAAGCGGCTGGAAGCCCCCGGGAAGCTGCTGGCCCCTGGCCCCCGAGTGCAGGCCTGGCCCCACGAGCTCGGGACCCACAGGTCTCCCTGCGCGCTGGCTCGGGTGGGGGCTTCCCCAGTTTCGGGCCGGGGCGGGGTGGGGGCACAGGGTGGGAGGGGCTCTCCCTTCCTCGACCGGCGCTACCTTCCCCTCTCGCTCACTTCCCAGCTGCAGGCAGTCGGGGTCTGGGTCGGCTCCTGCCTGGTTTAAAAAAAAAAATTTTTTTTTTTTTTATCAAGAGCCTTCAGGGCGCCCCTCCGCCGCCCGCCCCGACCCGGCCCTGCGCGGGGCGCTCCGGCCAGGGGCAGCGGCGGGCCGGCCGCAGAGCGGAGGGGAGCTGGGACCCGCGCGGAGAGCGCGGACCCCGGCGCGAGGCCCGCGCGCATTGGCTGGGCCGCGGACGGCGCCCGCGCTGGCCGCCGCAGGCCAATGAGCGCCGCAAGTGGGAGGGTTCGAGGCTCCCGAGGAGTTTCCCCCCGGCTCCCCCCTCCCCGCCCCCTCCCCCGGCCCGGGCCCGCATAGCCCGCCCCCTCCCCGGCCCTCCCCGCGCCGCCAGTTTGTTAAATTAATGCAGTCACAAAGTGGGGCGCGGGGCCGCGCCGGGCGCGCTGCGGGCGCGGGGCCCACGGCGCGGGGCAGCCCGGGACCCCCCGGCCCGGCCGCGGGCGCCTCCCCGCAGCGCCCATAACTTACTCGGCGGGGACGGGGAGGCGGGATCGCGCAGGCGGGGGACGCGCCCGGGGGCCGGGTCCCCACGCGCCAGCCTGACGGCAGCACGGCCGGCCGCCGGCCCGCGCGCAGCTGCAGGGTCCTCCTCTCGGCCCGGCGCGGCTGGGCTTCGCGGGAGCTGGACGTCTGGGCAGAGGCGGGGGCCAGCGGGAGCGGGGGCCAGCGGCAGGGCCCCCCGGCCGGACAGACGGACGGACGGACGCGCCCCCGGCCCCGAGCGGGCGCCGGGCTCGGCCGCTCTCCGAGGTCCTGAAGCGCCGCGTCCCGCCCGCGCCCCGCGCCCCGCGCCCCGCGCCCCGCGCCCGGCCCGCGCGGACCCCGCGGCCGCTCTCCGAGGTCCTGAAGTGCCGCGTCCAGCCCCGCGCCCCGCGCCCGCCCACCCGGGAGCCCGCGGCTGGACCCCGAGCCCGGCGCGGCTGGACCCTGAGCCCGGAGCCGCTGGACCCCGAGCCCGGAGCCGCTGGACCCTTGTGGATTTTCTTCGGGGGTTTCTTTCTTTCTTTTTTTTTGAGGGGCTTTTGCCTTTCGCAATAGCTCTGGCTGGGTTTTCTAAGCGCCAACTTGAAACATTTCCGTCCTCCCCCCGAACTCGTGGACTACAAAGCACAAGGACCCGGGAAAATGTGCAGCTTGGATACCCTGCGCCTCCACCTCTGGAAGACCATTGTATTCTTCAGGTACGCGCGAGCGCGCCGGGGCGGGGGGCGGCGTGGCGGGGCCCCGGGGGGGAGGGGTGCCGAGCAGCTCGGGCCGGCCTGGCCCACAGCCTCCCCGCCGGCCGCACCCCGCCCCGCAGACGTCTGGCCGGCTGGGGCTGGTGCGTGGAGGTCTGCGCCCGGGGCCGCTCTGGGGCGGCTGTTTGCTGTCACTCGCTGCCCTTCGCCCGCGTAACCCCAGCCCCAGCCCCCCCAGGCCCCCCCGCAGAGCAGCCCTTAGGGGGCCCGGGACGCAAGGGGGGCGACGGGAGTTACTCCGCTTAATTAGGCTGCATTCTCTCTAACCGCAGTGCCGAAACCTCTGCTCCCCTGTCTGGGAGCCAAATGACAACTAGCGGTGACGAGGGAGGTTGCACTCACCCACTGCCGCTCCGGACACACACACACACACAGGCTTTCTCGCCTGCTGCTGCTGACCACTGCTCTGGGGTTGCGGGTACCCCCGCGATGTGTGGACCCTGGGGTCTGTGCCCTGGCTTCACAGCGGGGCTGGGGTCTGCAGGGGCCTGCAGTGGGGTGTGTGTGTGGGGGGAGTAGTGCGGTGGACTGTGTAAGGACAGAATGGGGACGGGTTCCCCTCCTCAAACTTTCACTCCCTCATACCCCACTCACCTCCCCGAGCCTCCTCCCGCGTTCTGCAGACCCTGACCCTGCCATGCCCGATTTAAGTCTCTACCCGACTCAGAGGCTGCATGTACATCCCCCCCCCCCCCATTGTCCTCCTGCCCATGGCCCTCAAGCCCGGGTCGGCTGCGGGCAGCGGTGAGAAACCCACACTTCCTGATGGCAGTGGGCGAGCCCTTTCCAGAGGGGCTCCTGGCACATTCGTTTATGGAAAATACTCCCCCCACTGCGCACGCGTGCATGCACACATGCACGCACACTCACACACGCACACACACACACATGCAAGCGCGGCCTAAAGGAGTCATTCCTCTGCCTCCTGCCTCTCCGCCTTACTGGCAGTGGATTTATCAGGCCTCGGAAAATCCCACTCCCGCTCATTTGAACAACCAAATCAACACCCAAAACAACAAATCCTCCCCCAACCCACCCCCGCCGCGTGAGACTATGTGGGGGACGGGGGCTTTTGTCTCTCCGTGTTGCGCAGTCGGCGGGCCCGCATGCGAGCTGCTGGCCAGATGGTCATGGGGGGCTCAGGTGAGCGCGCCCGCCCCCTGTTACAGCCTCTAGGGTGAAGCGAGACCCTTGCCCTTCACTGAGCAGCCCTGGCGGGGCTCCAAACCCCACAGCTGACCCTGCTCTGCCCAGGCTCTGCCCCGGGCTCCTGGTACACAGGGCCCAGCAGTGGGCAGCCGGGCGCGTGTCAGCCCTCAGCACCTATGGGAGAGCAAAGTGTCCCCCGCGGTCACCACAGTGGACTGCGGCAAGCATGGGGATGCGGTTGGAAGCCTCTGCCTGCAACTTTCTCAGGCCCACCCGGGGGCCAAAGCAGGTCGGGTGCAGGGGCCAGGCTCACACCGCGCCCCTCCTGCCCCTCTCTGCCGTGGTGCCCCCTTGCCTGGCCTTTCACCACTGTCTCTCCAGGGCCTGCCCCATGCCCTGGGCTCCCTCCCTGGGCACACAGTGGCCCCAGGCAGCCTCCAGCCACCCCGTCTCAGGTCTGTGCCAGGTCAGGCCGACTCCGAGCTCTCAGAGGAACACCAGGGCCACAGACAGGGTGCGGGGCAGTGCCGGGGACCTCGGCAGGGCAGCCTCCGAGGCGCAAAGGAGACCCAGAAACACACACATGATGTGGGGTTGGGGAGATGCGTCACACAGAAAGGGCCACGGGCGGCAGGGGCCTTTGTGCCTGGGACACGTTTACTCTCTGGTTCTTGGGCTTGTCGGTGAGGTTGCAGCAGTGGTGGAGTCTGGGCCTGGCAGCGTGCAGAGGCCGCAGTGGACAGAGCCGGGCGGCCAGGGGGCAGGCTCCGTGCAGACAGTCCCAACCCCTGGGGACAGGCACCGAGGGGGCCCCCAGCTCTCCCAAAGGCTCCGTGGCAGTGGTGAGCAGGAGCAGGGGGGCGGGAAAGTCTCGGCCCGCCGCAGAAGCCGCAGCCGCATACAGCAGCAAGACGATAACGTGGCGCCGAGTGCCTGAGCCAGCGAGGGGGGACAGTAGCCGGCAGAGGGGGAGCCTCGCGGGGTCCCGAGCACCTGCGCAGGGCGAGGAGACAGGCTGGAGCCGCGGCGGGTTCTGAAATGAGTGATGCGTCCCCGTTTGCCTCTATCTCCTGCCAGGGCGGGGAGTAGGAGGCCTTGGCATGGGGGCCCGCGCACACCCCCTGGCCCCACAGGAGCCTGCTCAGGAAGGGCTGACCCCAGAGTCTCTTGCTTCATGCATGCCTGGACACCGCAGGCTGGGACGGCCACCCTGGGGTCGCGAAGAGCCCGGATCCCCCAGCAGGAGGTGTGGGAGTGAGGCTCACTCCCTGGGGAGGCCAGGGCAGGGGACAAAGGCGAGGAGGGAATCCTGAGCCTGGGGGCTCCCCAGAGACCACCCCCTCCCCCGGGCCCTGTCTGCTCCCGCCTCACAGATGCTGCCCGACCCGGCCTGGAGGTCACCCAGACCTTGCAGCAGGGGCGTCTGCCTGAGCGGGGAATGAGACCGCCCCTGCTCGAAGGCATGAGCGAGCTTGGGGGGTCCCGTGCCTGCTGGCAGTACAGTGGGCTCTGCCCCCTAGTCTTCCCTGCTCCCCTCACCCCAGAGCCTGTCACGTGGGACCTGACCTGGAGGAAGAGTCAAGGGCGGCTGGTCTGTCCCCAGGGACACGCTCCCTGAGGGGCCGCACGCCTTTGGGCAAGGGACAGCAGGAGGGGCTTCACCCAGGGTCCCTGGGGCAATGCAGAGCAGTGGCCCCCACAGAGAGTGTCCTGCAGCCCTGGCCAGACCCTTCCCTCCAGGGGACCCACCTCAGACTCCAAAAAAAGACAGACCCACGCCCGAGGGCGCAGGGGACGCCCCGGCCAGCAGCCTCCCCACTGCCAGCAACACTGCACTGCGTGACGGCCACTGTGACGTGTGCCCGCGTGTCCTGATTCCCCGTGCCCTGTCGACATGTCCCTGTGCTCATGTGCCTGTGCCCTGTGCCCACACATCCCTGTTTCCCTGCGCCTGCGTCTCTCTGTGCCCGCGGGTGCTATATGATCTCGCGGGGTGGTGCCAGGAAAGTGAGAGGGCAGAGGCGCCCAGCAGAGGGGCGGCTGTCCCCTGACAGGGCATCCAGGCCCTTCTCCTGCCTGGAGGCTGACTGCAGAGCTGTCCTCACCCGGCGGGTCACGCCGGCATGCAGAACTACGGCATCACCAATCACCCCCCTGGTCAGCGGGTAGACGTAGGAGGCACTGGCCCTGGTGTCCATCTCTCCATCTGCTGCCCTTGGCCCCGAGGACAGCAGATGTGCAACCCTGACCCCGGCCATGGCCTGGGGGGAGGGGGTGTCATGCTCGGCCTCAGTTTCCCCAGTTGTGGGGTGCAGGGAGCTGCCGCAGTGCCCAAGGATAAGGAGCTGTGCCCATCGCTCGCTCGTCGTCCACTGCGGCTGCCCAGCCCCCACGGGCCGGCCCTGATGCGGCTACCCGAGGCCTGAACCCCACAGCTATCCCTGCAGTGCCCCGGCAGGGCTGAGGGGCCGGAGGGGCCCCTGCGCCCCCGCTGACCCGCCTGTCTTTCTCCTCCACTGACAAAAGGCGCCTCTTCCATGAACCGGCGTTTCTCACGGCCCATTCCCACGGGCCATCCATCACCGCTGACAAGGGACGCCGGGCACCGCGCGGCTGCCCAAGGTCTGGACGCTGCCCCTTCCCCAGGGAGAGGGGAGCAGCCCCGCGGGGTGGGCGGCGGGGAGCAGACCTAGACCGCCCTCCCTGGCAGGCTGTGCGTGCCTAGGGTTGGTGCAGGGGTGCGGGCAGGGCTGGGGTCACATCAAGGCAGCGGAAACCACAGCGGGTTGGCCAGCTCCGCCTCGGATCCCTGATCCTCAGAGGAGCGCAGGGCCCCTAGAACGCGTGGGACCCTGACAGGGGGCCCGGGTGTGTGTGACACAGAGCGGCAGAAGGGGGCCGGGAGACAGCGGGGAGAGAGGTGGGCAGGGTCATGCGCAGGCCCAGAACAGGGCCCAGTCTGGGGGGGTGGTGGTCTCTGCCATCACACAAGGCCTGGCAGGAGGGCAGGGTGACCCCTTGAGCTCCCTCAAGTTGGCACTGTGTCAGCCTCCTGGGCTAACCCTTGGCAATTCCGTGCCCTCCCTGCACCTCTCAGGGTCTGAGCTATTCCTTCAGGAGCTGAGGACAGTCACGCCACTGCCCAGGGTCAGCCTCTCGTCCCTTCCCCCAGGGGTCATGGAGTGTCCCCAGAGCAGGAGAGGGCAGGGAGGACTCCTGGCCACTCTGGATCTGCCACTGAGATGCGGCAGTGGGGCCTGGTCCCACCGTCCCCCACCTCCCAAGAGACCCTGGTGGACGGCAGGGATAGACTCAGGAGGGGCGCCCTGTACCCAGGTCAGCACCTCCACACTCGGGGTGCAGGCACCCCAAGTCGGGAAGACACTGGTCCAACCTGTCCCTCTACCTCTGCAGGCACCTGCCCTCAAGGTTAGACAGCACCAGGCAGAGCACCCCAAACCCACGCAATCCCCCACGCCCTCCCATGTGGCCATCCTCCCCGCCCCCTCAAACAAGCACCCCCTGGAGAGGCCTTGGCTGCTGTGCCCCAGTGGGGTTGGAGCTGGGGTTCCCCCGAGGGGAGAGAGCAACGGGCCTCAGTCCCCACCTTGTCCCGAGAGCCTTGCTGGTGCCTCTCTTCTGCCCATGCCCAGGCCTGTGCCTCCCCCCATCCTGAGACCAGGCAGGGTGGGGGTGCCACTGTCCCCCACCACTCAAGGCCTGACCACCACCACCAACTCCCCAGGCCCGGCAGAGCCCCTCACCCACGCTGGCTCCACCAGCCCCGGAGCAAG